GAACTCACCTGATGGCAAATCCATGTGTTATAGGTAGAACTGCTTCATAGAGTTTCCTTGGCTGCTATCTGTACAGAAGTGGATTGCCAGGCCTTTCTTTTGCAGCACTACTGAGTGGGTTCAAATAACCATCTGATTGGTCAGTAGATGAATGCAACTCTCTTGTGCCAGCAAGGCACAATAATGTGAACATTGTTGTTGTTAAGTTCCGTTGAGTCAGTTCTGGCCCATAGTGACCCTGTATAGGGTTCTGAGGAGTGGTTGGTGAACTTGAAATGCCAACCTTGCATTTCAAATTACTTTGCAGTCTAGTGAGTTAACCCACAGCACCACACATTAGGCAGACCATTATCAGCACATGTAAGGAGCCCCCATTGGTGCAGTGGCTAAGCTCTCAGCTGCTAACAACGTCTACAGTTCAAACTCACCAGCTGCTCCACAGGAGAAAAGGTCTGGTAATCAGCTCCCATAAAGATCATTGTCCTACTCGGTGTAAGGCTTGATGGAAGGTGGTTTCATCTCGGCTGCGCTGCCGAGACCTCCTCCCAGGACGGCTCCCCTTCCCCGGGCCTCTCCCTCTTGCCCACGAGCCCCCTCGCCTCTTAGGCCTCGTGGACCTAATACCGTGGGGTGAGATGCAAGCAGGCCCTGGGAGGGTAGTTACTACTGAGGAGCTGCAGTCGCGATCACGATGATAGAAGTACTGACAACCACTGACGCTCAGAAACCTGAATGCCCTGCCTGAACAGGAGTCTAGATGTCAACCAAAGCATCAGCTGAATGCCCTGCCTGAACAGGAGTCTAGATGTCAACCAAAGGTTTTTGGCTTGAGACTCATTGAGTCTGCTCATGATAATGGCCTCAGAGTGACTGCAAGGTTAAGAGACTTTAAAGTAAAAGATCTTCTTAGTCTAACTTAGTTCTTTGGCTTTGACATGGAAACGTTTTCTCTAGCTGTGAATTTACTGGACAGGTTTCTGTCCAAAATGAAGGTACAGTCCAAGCACCTCGGATGTGTAGGACTGAGCTGCTTCTACTTGGCTGTAAAATCAATAGAAGAAGAGAGGAATGTCCCACTGGCAAATGACTTGATCAGAATAAGCCAGTATAAGTTCACAGTTTCTGACTTGATGAGAATGGAAAAGATTGTATTGGAGAAGGTGTGTTGGAAAGTTAAAGCTACTACTGCCTTTCAGTTTCTGCAACTCTACTATTCACTCATTCAAGAGAGCTTACCATCTGAAAAGAGAAACAGCCTTACTTTTGAAAGACTAGAAGCTCAACTTAAGGCATGCCATTGCAGGATCATATTTTCTAAAGCAAAGCCCTCTGTGTTGTCATTATCTATCATTGTATTGGAGATTCAATCACAGAAGTGTGTGCAATTAACAGAAAAACTAGAATGTCTTCAGAAACATTCCAAGATAAATGGCAGAGATTTGACCTTCTGGCAAGAACGCGTCTCCAAGTGTATAACAGAATATTCATCAAACAAATGTTCCAAACCAAATGTTGAGAAGCTCAAATGGATTGTTTCTGGATGAACGGCAAGGCAGTTGAAACATAGTTACTATAAGATAACCCACCTTCCAACAATTCCTGAAGCAGTCCCTTAATTGGATTATTACAGCAACATAAATCTCTTCTCTGAAGCCTTTCTCTACAACCCTGAGTGATGGAATTCATAGTTAGAATGGATTTAAACTGTGCAACCTTAAAACATCTCAACTCAATTTGTTCTCAGATTAGGGGAACTGACTACTTAATATTATGCTATAGTAGAATTATATTTAGACTTGAATTCACCTTTGATGCATACAAATCTAAGCTAAGAATATAAATGTGAAACTGTAATGATAAGCCTGGGGTGGTAAACTGTGAATCTTTATTTTTAACACTGACCTAAATGTCTATATTGGATCAATATGTTTAGGTGGTATTGAAACAGTAACCTATATAAGCTAAGTCATCTTAAGTGTGATTATATTATGAGGCTTACATCAAAACCAATTATTTTACAAATACACTTTTAAGACATATTAAGGATTACCATTCAAGACAGCATAAATGGCTTCTTGGCATCTATGATGCAAGTACATAATGCAGATATGTGGACTTCGTTGCTATCTAGCAATTATATTTGAAGGCTCTTTTATATAAAACAAAAATAATAGACTTGGTAAGTTTGACATACTCATTATCTTCAATAGATTTTCTAGAGAAGAGGAGATACTTGTATTCATGATTTAAAGTTTTTTTTAATACAGAATCTATTGCCTCAATCTAGTCCCATTGAGAATCAAAATTGCCTTATCCTATTAATGCAAGTTCAGGTTAGATTTAACACTCCAGACATTTTTACTAAGGACTGTTTTTATTAAACTGCCATTTCCTCTAAGAATTTTATGTAAATGGAGCAAAGTATAGTCTACTAAATGCCCCTACTGTGCTAAAATGAGAGTCCTGCTGTAGCACTGTAGGATAAGAACTGGACTGCTAACCACAAGATCGGTGATTCAAACCCACAAGCAGCTCCTGGGAAACCCTCTATAGGGTCGCTGTGAGTTAGAACCAACTCAATGGCACTTAACAAGTGTGCCAAAATAAAATCTTAGGAAAGTAAGTAGGCATTAGGTAGCTGAGGTAGCCCTGCTGTGGTGCTTTGGGATAAAAACTGGGCCACAAGTTAGGTTTGAACCCTAAGATCAGCAGTTCAAACTTATCAACCGTTCCTTGGAAACCCTATACAGGGCCGCTGTGAGTTGGAATTGACTCGAAGGTACTTAACAACAACCGTGAAAACATTTACCAAATTCATTGTGCAGCCTGAGACTATCCAGAACGGTTGTAACCAACTCAGATTACATTTGACATCATGTTACAGATTTTTATGGACAAATATGCTTGGAAAAATATGCCAAAGAACCACAATATATCTTAAATTTTCTAAACTATGTTTTGTGGATAAGTTTTCTGTTTTCCTAAATGGCTGATACATTTCAATATTTGAATACATCAGTGTTAATTTTCAGTTAGCATAGATAACCTAACAAAATTACCATTATATTATTAAGGAATATACTTTTCAATAAAGTCACTGAAATACACTGAAAAAAAAAAAAAGATTATTGTTGTTGTTAGGTGCCATCAAGTCAGTTCCAACTCATAGCGACCCTTTATAGGGTTTTGGAGGTGGTAAATCTTTACAGGAGAAGAATGACTCATCTTTCTCCCAAGGAGCAGCTGGTGGGTTTGAACTACAGACTTTGTGGTGAGCAGGTCAGTGCTTATCCTACAGCGCCACACCAGGACTCCGACTTTAGTTTGAACGCCACTTCCTCCACGTCGGTTCCCTGTGACCATCATCATGGCACTTACCCCTTGGCTTTGAGCTCACAGACTGGGTGGGGGCTACTCGCGGCTGACGTTGCCCTAGTCAGTGCTGCATTCTCCAGGCCTAGCCCAGAGACTTGTGGCCTTGTAATGCCCAAAGATTTGTTGAATTAAACAGTGAATGAATAGGAATATATATAGTCCTGGACTGCTAAGTATATATATATATATATAATATAATACGCTGGATTGCAAAGTTGGTTTGAATCACAAGGTCGGTGGTTCAAGCTCACTAGCCGCTCCTCAGCAGCCCTGTACCAGGTCGCTGTGGGTCGGAACCAACTTTTCCCCTTTTCAGCACTTAACAACTTTATATATGGAGTCCTGGTGTGGCACTGTATTCCTTTACTCTGAAATCACTGACATTTTACTAAATTACATTTTCTTAGATATTGGATGCACCCAGGGTCACATTTCACCTATTCTATGTGTGACACTGTTATATTAGCACTGGACTGTGAACCACAGGTTGGCTGTTTAAACCTACCAGCTGCTCCTTGGAAACCCTATGCAGGGTTGCTAAGAGTCAGAACTGACTCCAGGGCATTTAATAAAGACTTGCCTCTCAGCACGTGTCTTGTGGGTTATCCCTTCCAGTGTTTATTGGCCCTTTTATCTTGAGGGCAACGTTTTTAGAAATCTTTCCTCCTGACCCCAAGGGATCCTTCCTCTCAGACCAAGATACACGGTTAATTTTTTACTACTTAAAATTTTTCTAAATAATGTGATAGCTGATTTTAAAGAGAAAGAATTAGGGACTTTGATTTCTTTTTCTAATGGTTAGAGATCTTTGATTAGCATATACAAGGGGACTGAAAAAATTCATGGAAAATTTTCATTGTCTTTTAATTCCATATTCCACAAACTTTTTGATGCCCCTGCATATTTTATCAATTAAAATAGGAAAGAAGGGAGAAGAATGGGTTCACTAGTGCATGGCCCTCAGTCAAACTTTCAAAAGACTTTCTGACCTCATGGAACTTTCTAGAAGGAACCAGTCTGATAGAGTCTTACCATGGGTCTATTTGCTCTGCCTCAGCACAACTGAGTCTTTGTGTGGTGGTTATTGTTAGTGAATCCTCTGTCCCCTGAGCTACCTGAAGTGCTGCCCTTTTTCCATTTAGATTCTTTCTAGTCCAGGCTATAGCTTCCCCTCCTCTCCCTGGTGTCTCCTCAGCACTCAGTTTCTTCTAGTTATTATTTCATGTGTTTCTTGTAAACATTTCCTTAACACCAGTTTTTCCATAGCTAAATTATATTTACAGACATTATATTGAAATTGTGTATATACTGGGAATAATGTATATACCAGGAAAATTAAGAAAGTTTGTCTTTGCAAAATCAGACTATATTGAATAACTTAGAATTCTACTAGTTAGCATAGAAAGGGAGGGGGTGCAGTACTTTGGCAACTGTAAATGATTTAACAAATATGACATGCTGTTATTGTTTGGTCTTAGGGTTCTTCTCTCCTTCCGCTAAGGCATTATGAGCAATGTAGAGAGTGGCACTTCTTTCTGCCTCCTCGGTGGGTGGGCAAAAGTCATCTGCATTGACTGCCATAGAAATGATTGTCAGGTGAGTAATAAAATATACTTTGTATTTAGGGAAAGAATATGGTAAAGCTGATGCAAGATGGGTTTATTTTGATCCAAACATCATGGCTGTGGAACTTGTGACTGTTTTTCTGGATGGATCTCTGGCATTGTTTCTCATTTATGCCATAGTCAAAGAGAAATATTATCGGTAAGTGCCCTTCTCCTGTCTTGTTGAAGGGAGAAGAAATCTTTACTGTCCTGATACCTATATGACATTTGGAGTAGGTCATGAACACATGTTAGATCAAAAGAAATGAAAATTGTTTGATATTTGATAAGGGTCATGGTGCCACCAGAATCGTTTTAACTGATCGAAATAAGAAATATGAGAAATGTGATTTCAGTAATGACCTACGATTGCTTTTGAGAGTGAATTCAGACTTACAATGACCCTATAGGACAGAGTAGAACTGGCCTTCAGGCTTTCTGAGGCTGAAATCTTTACAGAAGCAGACTGCCACATCTTTCTTCCATAGAGTGGTTGTTGGGATCTAACCACTAACTTTTTGATTCACAACTAAGCACTTAGTGACTGTGCCACCAGGGCTTTCTTTAGTAATAACCAAAACCAACCCAAGCCGATTGTTTTCAAGTCAATTTTGACTCATAGTGATGCTATGTAGTTTCTGAGACTATAAATCTTTATGGAGCAAGATAGCCTCATCATTATCCTGTGGCATGGCTAGTGGGTTTGAATCACCTATCTTGAAGTTAGCAGCACAACACCTAATCCACAGCACCACCAGGTTCCTTTTGTTAATAACTTTTGTTGGTGGTAGTGTCATTGAGTCGATTCTGATTCATAGTGATCCCATTCACAGAAGAATGAAACACTGACCAGTCCTGTGCCATCCTCACAATCATTGCTACACTTGAACTCATTGGTGCTGCTACTGTGCCAATCCATCCCATTGAAGGTTTTCCTCTTCTTCGCTGACCCTCTACTTTACCAACCATAATGTCCTTCTCTTGAGACTGGCCCCTCCTGATAATATATCCAAAGTATAAGAGATGAAGTCTGGCCATCCTGCCTTCTAAGGAGCATTCTAGCTCTATTTCCAACACAAATTTGTTTGTTCTTCTGGTAGTTCATGATGCTTTTAATATTCTTCTCTAACTCCACAACTCAAGTGCATCAATTCTTCTCTGTTCTTCCTTATTCATTGCCCATCTTTTTCTTGCATATGAGGCCACTGAAAATAGCTTGGGTCAGGTGCACCTGAGTCCTCAAACTGATGTTTTTGCTCTTGAACACTTTAAAGAGGTCTTCTGCAGCAGATTTGCCTAATGCAATGTGTCATTTGATTTCTTGACTGCTGCTTCCATGAGTGTTGATAGTGGATCCAAGCAAAATGAAGTCTGTGACACTTTAGTCTTTTTTCCATTTATCAGCTAGTGGTGAGGATTTTGTTTTCTTTACATTGCGGTACAACCTATACTGAAGGCTGTGGTCTTTGATCTTCATTAGTAAGTAATTTAAGTCCTCTCTGCTTTCAGCAAGCAAGGTTGTATTATCTTCACATTTCAGGTTATTAATGAGTCTTACTCCAATCCTAATGCCATGTTCTTCTTCATATAATCCAGCTTCTTGGATTATTTACTTCACATACAGATTGAATAAGTATGGTGATAGGATACTACCCTGGTGCAAACCTTTCCTGATTTTAAACTATTCAGTATCCTTTTGTTTTATTTGAATGACTGCCTCTTGGTCTATGTACAGGTTTCTCATGAGCATAATTAAGTGTTTTAGAATCCACATTCTTCACAATGCTATCCATAGCTTGTCATGACCCATGCAGTCAAAAGCTTTTGCATACTCAATAAAGAGCAGGTAAACATCTTTCTAGTATTCTCTGCTTTCAGCCAAGATCCATTTGACATGTCCTTGTCTGAATCTGACTTGAACTTCTAGCTGTTAATGTACTGTTGCAGCCATTAAAAAATTATCTTTAGGTGGGGCTTGATGGTGGCTAGGGTAGAGGTGCAGTGAGGTTTGCCGTCAGCAATACCACAGAATACCAGGCAAAGCAGATTCAGAACAGAGCTCCAAAACTCGGAACCATATAGGTAGTAATATTTAAAATGTTTGAAGGCTTGTAGCTAGTGGAACTTGTAGCCAAGTAAGAAATCGTGTACTTTTGAATCTGCCAGACTCAGTGGCACAGAGTCGACAACTTGGGTGAGATAAAATGGCAAGACCAAGTGGGGGAGTAGACATACTATGGAAAAATGCTGTGGGAATCTCGGATCAAAGTTGGACAATACACTTTGTTGGTTTTACTTTGTTCTGATTTTCTTTTGTGGGGGTGTATCTATTCATTGCCTCACCCCCCCGCGACTGTTTGTGCACCTCCATTCTGGTGACTAGAGGGGTTGGCTGAGCGAGTGGACAACACCCACACCCACCACTAGTGGATTTGTCTGCCATGGATGCACACAAATACTCTTAACCCAAGAGCCAGCTCTGAACTGTTTTTTTTTTTAATATAGAAAAAGCCAGAACAAGGGGTGTGGAAAGGGAAAGACAGTTTAAAAACAAAAAAGGCCAAAAAATTAAATTAAATCCTGAGGTACAGCGTAACAACCAACAGTGGCATCTTGAAATTTATCAGACAGATTTGAAGGCAAGAAGCTGAAAGAAGAGATTAAAGTCATACTCATATTCGTCTATAGATTTTTTTTCTTCTCTCCCTCCTCTCCCTTTTCTGTGATTATAGACTACAGTATCCAATCTAGTTTTTGTTGTTGTTTTCTTGTGTTTTGTTTTGTTTTATACTTGCCCTTCCACCTTTAGGGGCACTTTCTCTCTCTCTATTACCCAAGAAGATACAGCAAATGCTGCCATATAGTCAAGCTACAGTCACACTCTATAAAACACCAAAACCCAGGCAAGAACCAATATCAACTGCCATATACCAGGAGGCAGACAACACCTGTGAAAGTTACTCTGATTTAAGCAACAAGAAGAGTGAAAATGGAAGCCCACATCCTGATCACATCTACCTGAAGGCAATCAGAAAACATAAAAAATACCAAAACACATGCTCAATTAAGTATTAAGGCCACAGATAAACACTAAACATGTCCAAGAAACAAAAGCAGATGACCATATCAGCACATGTCCATACAAGCTAAAATGTCTGAGACAAATGAGGTAGAGGTAGCTATGGACTACATTCTGGAAGGAGGGCAGGCCTTGGAAATGCCTGAGAAGGAATTCAGAAAAATGATTATAAAATGTTCAAAACACTTTTCAGTGGAGTTGAGAAAAATAAGGATGAAGTCAGTAAAATGCTACAGGAACAATCAAATAAGATAGATATAGCATTGGAAGCAATTAAAAACCTACAGAAAGAGGTCTAAATGATCAATAACAGAATATCAGAAGTAGAAAATACCCTGAAAGGACAAAGGAGTAGAATAGAGATGATGGAAGGCAGAACCAGTGATCTGGAAAACAAACCTTTTAGTACCACTAAGATAGAAGACCAAAGAGAAAAAAAGATAAAAAAATCTGAAGAAGGTCTAAGATTCATTTTGGACTACATGAAGAAGAATAACTTAAGAATTATTGGCATTCCAGAACAAGAAGAGTCACACAAGTGCACAGAGGAAATAGTTGAAGAACTGCTGGAAGAAAATTTCTCTAACAGCCTGAAAAGTGAAAAGATAAACATTCAAGAAGCTCAACAAACCCCAAGAAGGATAGACCCTAAAACAAAATCACCAAGACATATCATAATGAAACTTGCCAAAATCAAAGATAAGGTAACTAGAAAAAAGAGGAATGTTACATACAAAGGCAAGCAAGTCAGATTAAGCTTGGATCTCTTAGCAGAAACCATGCAAGCAAGAAGACAATGGGGAGACATAATAAAGCCCTGAAAGAAAAAAACTGCCAACCAAGAATCCTTTA